GTCTTCACAGCTGACTCGTTTCTTAGATTTGACATTTCATTGCAGAGCATCAGTGTTTATATTCCAGCTAGGATAAAAACAGAATTCAAGAACTGAACTCAGCTGTACTGAGAGTTGGTCATGCTAAGCAGTTGCTATTTTATACTAAGCATGTAATCGGTATTCAGTGTAAGTCGTATACCTGAAAGACAACTAGCTAACAATAATGTTTACATTTTGACAGTGACCGATTTCCCCTTACCTCACCCCAAGCAGTTGCAGCTGTTACTCTCTCCTAGCTTTGCTTTCTTCTCCCTCCCCTACCTGAGTGACTAGATCGCTCGTGTGTCCTTAGGAGAGTGTTGGCGATCTCAAAGACAGTGCAACGCCCTCGGGACACTGTTAAAGATCTCAGAGACAGCGCAACGCCCTCAGGACACTGCTGAGGATCTCAGAGACAGCGCAAAGCCTTCAGGACACTGCTGAGGATCTCAGAGACAGCGCAAAGCCCTTAGGCTGGAGATCTTACAAGACTGCGCAAAGCCCATTAGGAAACTCCTGGTGATCTCAGAGACAGTATAGCAAAGAGCCCTCAGAATAGAGCTGGTGATCTTGGAGACAGTACAGCGCGGAGCTGTCAGGACAGAGCTGGTGATCCCTAAGATCTCTAAAATCGGATGGCACATCCTCATTATGCTAGCAGTTCGGAGGTAATGTGTAGGAATTGGTCATCGTAGGATGTGATCTAAGCTTGTTTTTAATGGAGCTTGTTTCAGAGCTCTGTTGGGGAGTAGGTGAGCTTTTCCCTAGACTCCCTCTCACTGAGCTTCTCCAGCTGCTTGCCGGCTCACCAATCCCGGGACCCGAAGAGCAGCCAAGCGCGGAGCACAGACCCTGAACTGAGCGTCACTGCCACTCATTCAACAGAGGAGAATCGCGCACCCTGGGCCCAACAACCGGAGGTAAGGACTGGTGTGGGGGAACCCGGGAAGAGCGAAGGGAATGTGGGCTCAGAGGATGGTGCAGGAGACCACGCTGTTGGGATGAGAGGACAGAAGAAAGGCAGGGCTGGGAGAAGGGAGGCTCTCTCCCTCCGAAGGGGTTCCCATCCCACACAGCTCTTACCACACTGCTGCCGATCTTCCCCTTGCTGTTGATGGCTCTCTCCTCCGCTCCCATCAGGCCGTCCAGTCCTGACATCCCGGAACCTGCGGGCAGAGTGCAGCACCGTCACACCGCTGGCCAGTGGCTGCAGAGGCACAGAGATCTCAAACAAGGCAAGAGCAAACCCCTTCACCCTGCAGCCCAGGTTTGGCTTTCGGTAACCATCGGAGTGATGGGGAGGCTCCTTCTTTTTCACAAAGTCCGAAAACAAAATCACTTCAGCCGCCTGCAGCTTGTTACTTGAGCTCCTTTTTTTCTGATTTCCTCCCGGAGATGACATTGAGAAAGTCTCACATCAGAAATCTATAAGTTTAAGCCATCAAAAGGCCTCAAGATCGATCGTGAAAGCAGGAGCCCAGACATTATCTACTGCACCGCCACTAGATGGCTGCAGTGACTAGTGTGCAGCAAAGCGCACACGACTGCCTAGCATCAAACTGGTGAATGGGAAAGCCCATATTGGAAAACACTTTGCAAAAGTAAAAATGAAAAATTAGTGAAGTGAACAACTATTTCCTTTTCTAAGCTCGGGTGCTTGTAGTCAGTAGCCAAGTCAGGAGGGAAAACCAGTTTGCGTACGGCTACACTGAATGGATCCTGTACAGACCTGTGCAACTGGACGGCTTATTTCTGGCAGGGTGATCCCTTATTTCTGGGCCAGGCGGTTATCTGAGGCCTAGTGTAGGTCTTAATGAGAAAAACAAGCTCCTCTGTGCAGGGCAGCCTGTCTGAACCCAGCAGAGGTGGATATTTCCTCCGCACTACCCGAATTGGAGAAAGTGTGTGTAGATAAACATGCACGTTTGAATTGCGTGCCACTGAAACATCTCAATCTGAGACACATTTTAGGTGTACACAGTGATCCTTTGCATGAATGAAAAAAGAACTGCGCTTCATCCCACAAATGTCAAGTCAGAATTGTGTCATTACAGCTGAATCGCCGTTCTATGAATGTATCTCACTCATCTTTCTTGAAAAATACTTAAAACTGATGATTTCACGTTTTTAACAGAACTAAATATGTACACCTTTATAAAACAATGATTTAACAGCACAGTAATATCAGAGTATTCAACGTGGGAGCTGAGAGACCTGTTGCACGTTCTAAGTTCCAATGCCTGAAAATGTTGTTGTAGAACAGTGAAGACGTGTTTGACTTTGGTTTCCTCCAGTACGCTCCTACAGTAGATGAGCACTTTTTATATTTTTTTTGATACTACAGCAAAAATTCAGGCCATAAGATATCTGTGCTCTTGTACCTCAATGACAAATACAAGCACCTGTAGCTATTGCCACCTCATAGGGGGTGATCAGGTAGGGGAGAGCGCTGTGTGTCACTGAGCCCTCAGCTACAGCCTCGGCTCAGACTGCAGTGCTGGAGCAGGATCTCCTGAGTCATTGGTCTGTTCTTTATCTGGCTTTCACAAGCATTGCAGGAGGGGACGTATCAGACATCCTATTGTTCTGGGC